AACTTTTGACCATTATAACGTAATTAACTGACTTTTGACCATTATAACATAATTAACTGACTTTTGACCATTATAACATAATTAACTAACTTTTGACCATTATGACGTAATTAACTGACTTTTGACCATTATAACCTAATTTGCAGTGCAGTGCAAGTTATCATGACTATTAGAAAAAATAAAAAAAATCAACATACTATCAGTGTAGTGCCCAACCCACATTACGATTGTAATTGTAATTCTAACTATAACAGCAATTAATGATAATAATGTTAATTAATTTATTCCTTTCAGGCTAACTATGGTGCAATTAAGGGGAAATTACCTAAGTCAGTTGGAGATGATGATGTCAAACCTAATGATGAGGAGGAAAATGATGAACTGGAATTAAAGTTGAATGAAGATGAAGAAGAAGAAGAGGACGAGGTAATAAATAAAATATATTATCATACATCTGTCACCGTAACGCCATAAGTTACAGTGTGCCATAATTTTGCGGTTTGCACTGAGTATTTTCATCCTACCATATTTGGAAATGCAAATTCCAAATATGGAATGATTATGTGCATAAGCATCTTTTAATAATAAAAAACAAACATGGGCTTCCCCAGGGTTTGACTGGACCCCACACAAAAAAGTTCGCTAAACTTTTTGGATTTCGGCATTCACTCGGTGTATTCCTGTGTGTCAGCCGATACTCCCACTGCACTGTCTTCGTGCATACTTTGCAGTATCCTCGTAATAATCTTATAAAGCCACACTCCACAAGGTAACTGTCATATAATAGTGTCTGTTATATATTTATTATTTTCTATTTTTAGTATGAAGTTGAGATGAATTGGAATATAATGCATTACCTTCCACAAGCTGGAGCCTGCCAGACTAATTTTAACGTAAGTCTTGAATGATTTCTATTTCTCATTTGGACAAAAACGGACTTCTAGATTGACAATTTACATCAGTCTATGTGTCAATAATGCACATCTACTAACTAGTGCTAAAATAAAGCATTTTCACATTTCTTGTACCAGTGCTCTGATATGTGACGTTGATAAATGTGTCCTAAAATTAGATTAGTACATAAACATCCCTGTGAACTGCACCAGAAACAAGACAATTGAGATGAATGGCCTCAACCATGTGATCGCCCTGGGGGGGTGACCCCTTAGGCGAGGCATTTGCTTGGAGAATATTACCCTACAGGGTCCATAGCATTGGGGAAATCCTTTGAAAATCTTTGGATTTTTTGAGGTCTGGAATGTCTTTGAGTTGTCTTTCAATTACAGGGAGAATAAAAAAATCTTTGAAAAGTCTTTAAATTTCTTCATAGTTATTAATTCATTTTAGAAAGGCCCGTTTTCTCCAGGGAACTACCATATCCTCAGAACTTTCATGAGCTTTGGTGATGATGTTGGCCCGAATTAAGGGTCAAAATGTCTTTGTAAAATGCAAGAAAGTTTGGGAAAAGGTCTGGAAAAGTCATGGAAATTATTTTGCTTTTGGTGCTATGGAACATTGCCCTAGGGTGTTCCTTTTGAACAAGGGTATATTCTCTAATAGTTTCTGTCGAGACTGTAATCTGTAATTAAGCCTAACAAGTAATGAATAAAATTGTTATTTCCACAGGTTTTCTGGTAGGTATATAAACAAACTGTTTTGTACAACCCTACTAGTTCATAGAGAGAAGCATAGACAATTCAAACAAACACAGAGGCAAATATCTCATTGAAATTATTTCTACATGTGTTGTTTTCAGATGATTATTGCAGGTTATATTTTAGCCGTTTACCAACATTCTAAAGAAGAACAACAACACCACACACCAGGTAATACACCTATACGTAAACGAGGAAATACTCAGACTCAAAAATCTTCAGATACAACAGCTACACCAAGTACGGTCAACTTTGCTCAAGACCTTGTTGCAGGGGAATTATCTCAGCAGCTATTTGGGTAAGCACACTACACTCACTATGTTTCTATACTTGGGAGATAATCTTTGTACATCATGGTGTGAAATTACATGCAGTTTCTTTAAAAATTAATTTCTAATGTCATTCAATAGAATCACACTGAAGATTCAGAAGAAAGTATCAGGTAATCGTAGTAACCATGGCAATGCAGCTGATGAATTTCCCCAGTTACCAGGCTCCCATCTGCCTTTAAATAATCCTGCTTTGGAGTTTATCAAAGCCATCTGTAAGGTAAATTTTTTCCTCATCATCTATTAATCCTGTTCATTCATTGTCTTCTGAATCCCTTTCCTCACTCCCTAAAACCCAAACCCCTCTCACCATCTCCTAAACCTGTTCACTCATTGTCCACTGAACCCCTTTTCTCACTTCCTAAAACCCAAACCCCTCCAAACCATCTCCTAAACCTGTTCACTCGTTGTCTTCTAAACCCCTTTTCTCACTCCCTAAAACCCAAACCCCTCCAAACCATCTCCTAAACCTGTTCACTCATTGTCCGCTGAACCCTTTCCTCACTCCCTAAAACCCAAACCCCTCCAAACCATCTCCTAAACCTGTTCACTCATTGTCTTCTAAACCCCTTTTCTCACTTCCTAAAACCCAAACCCCTCCAAACCATCTTCTAAACCTGTTCACTCATTGTCCACTGAACCCCTTTTCTCACTGCCTAAAACCCAAACCCCTCCAAACCATCTTCTAAACCTGTTCACTCATTGTCTTCTAAACCCCTTTTCTCACTTCCTAAAACCCAAACCCCTCCAAACCATCTTCTAAACCTGTTCACTCATTGTCCACTGAACCCCTTTTCTCACTGCCTAAAACCCAAACCCCTCCAAACCATCTTCTAAACCTGTTCACTCATTGTCTTCTAAACCCCTTTCCTCACTCCCTAAAATCCAAACCATCTCCTAAACCTGTTTACTCATTGTCTTCTAAACCCCTTTTCTCACTTCCTAAAACCCAAACCCCTCCAAACCATCTCCTAAACCTGTTCACTCATTGTCTTCTAAACCCCTTTCTCACTTCCTAAAACCCAAACCCCTCCAAACCATCTTCTAAACCTGTTCACTCATTGTCCACTGAACCCCTTTCTCACTTCCTAAAACCCAAACCCCTGTTTTTCATGGTATTTATGCTTGTTACTTATTCAGTATATTTGAATATACTTACCACATTTTGTCTGTGTCTATTGAGGATCATAGGGAAGATAAGTGAAAACTTATGTTACCCTTATCAAAAAGTTTCAATAAAGTCTATGCACATTAAGTCATAATGCAGATGATGAATGGAGCATTTTGGTGTACATGTACATGTGACGTGAACACTTAGTTCCACTACCTGTAAAACAACACAAGGACTGTGCATTATCAATGCTAGTTAATTTTTAGCTCCATAAATACATTAATATCTTCCCTTTTGTTTTTGTTCTGAAAATGAGGACTTTCTTTGCCTTTCTGTGTGTTCATGTGTCCGCCCGTTTCTAAAAATATCTCAAGTTCAAACTTCACATATACATCAGACGTATGCACATGCATTAGTTTCATGATCCATTGCACTCTGACATCCATTTGAAGCCTAAAGATGAATCAAAATAAAAAATGTTCACCATTCCAGAACCCAATCTTGCATGGATAGATTTTGAATGAATGTGGTACTCAGCAATATCCATAATATTAGCCTTCATTGTTGGTAATATTGATGCAGTATCCAGGGTTTGCGATAGTGTTGCGGCAAGACGAGTCCCACTTTAATACAAAATTTTAAGAGATAGAAATTTTATCCTGGATAACTATTAGAGATTGGACCCCAGCTTGCCTGAAAAACTGGGTCCCTCTTCAATAATTGGAGTCAGGGAAGCAAAATATGGGGTCAACGCAATCCCTGTGTATCTATAATACAAAGTCATTGTGATTGACAATGACTTGTCCTCATCAGTTCTGTACCCTATTCGTACCACTTGTGTGATCTTAAATACAGTCTGTTCATTCAATTTTATTGTAGGTATTATCCTTGGATACCAACATAACCATTCAAGTTGCTAAACTAAACAGGGATTTATTGAAATTAATCAGCGTTGGTGAGTTTAGCGAGGATTCCAACTGGCGTGATCCATGCTTGTCGTATGTCTTACCTGAGGTTATATGTAAAACTTGTAATCATTGTAGAGATTTGGATCTCTGTCGGGATCCCTTGCTTCTACAAGATGAAAACACAGCGTAAGTACAAATGGAAAGAACATAATTACAGACAGTTTACTGCTGTTTATGTAGTTCATGTATTATGTTTTTTAGCTCCGCTGTCGACTTTGTGCCGAGCGGAGCTTATCATATGAGTGATTGTCTGTCGGATTTGTTCATTTGATGATGATATTTTCAATTCTCTAATTTTAATAAATATTTAATTTTTGTCTTTTTTTGGTAAAAAGTGATATTTTCGACTTCTTGTTAAAAAACACAAGTCTGATTGCTTTGATACTATACATATAGGTATCTTAGGTAGACCTCTCTCAGATTTGTTCATTTTGTGATGATATCTTCAATTATCTAATTTTGATGAATATTTTTGTCATTTTTGGTAAAAAGTGATATTTTTGAATTCTTGTTGAAAACAGCAAGTCTGATTGCTTTGTTACTATACATATTGTTCATTTTCTAATGATATCTTCAATTCATCAAAATTGAAATGTGCATTGCTAACAGCAGAGCTATCTCAGCAGAGAGGCTGCTTGTTTATAGATTATGTTTATATTTAGGCAAGATAAACTAAATTATTTTTGATTTCCCTAAAATTTAACCAACTGTCAAATGTCATCTATCAATCATTTCTCAGGTACATGTATGACTGAACCGATTTTATTTTAACTTGTACGTCAGTCAGTTTTGTGGATTATGTCTATATCTCAACCATGATTTGACTGATTTTTGATGAGAGTTGGTACAAAGACCAGTCATAGTGTGTACATGTGCACATAAATTGGTTTCACATTTATATGACAATTGATTTACCGGAGGATATTTTTGTTCCCCAAAAATGCTAAAACAAAACTTAAACATGTCATGAACCGTTTTTTGTTTCCATCTTGTCTTATGTATATAGCAGATTCACATTTGATTAAAAATGACCAACTGGCAGTACTCTTACATTGTTTATAATTGACTGTCAATAAAAACTGACGTTGATAATGTTGTTTTTATTATTTTAAAAGGTCTCCAAAATTCTCTCACCAATTGTATGTGTATTTATTCAACTTTGTGAACAATTGTTGTGTTTTAGTGCTGTGTGGCAGTGTGTGCAGTGTAAGAGTGACTATGATGTTAATGAAATAGAAAGACTACTTATAGAAGCTGTACAGAGGCTATCAATGGCATATGTACTACAAGATGTCACATGTTCCAAATGTAATATGGTAAGTTGTGTATCCCATGTATTATGTCTGTTCCATGTGATTCACCCACATTTTAACTTTAATATCTCATCACAGATATCCTGTGGGTAGTCAACAATTGAAATTGACATGCTGTTGGTAGACATGTACATGTTATGTGTACTGAACACACAGTTCCACTCCCTGTAAAACAACAGGATTGTGCATTAACAAGTTGCATATCTCATCACAGATATTCTGTGGGCTATCAATAATCTGATTAAGACACAATTTGACATCATTTTCAGAAATGCCAAATATGGATAAATTGATGACTTGGTAATATTATATGGTGAATATACCATAAAATCTTAGTTAGGTGTCATTTTTCCTGGATTAGAGTCTAATTCAGGTTTTAAGAGTACCGGTATGATGTTTATTGTGGCTAAACATGAATGGATAAACTGTGTTTCAACACTGAGCTGTTATCACTGTAAAAAATGTTAAATTCTTCTTCAATGCTCAGTTAATCTCTTGATTTAATAACTACATGCCCTTTTCCAATAAAAATCGAAGCCAAAAGATATCACCTGACAACAATTAATTTATGTAAAGTGACACTTAAGGTGACACTTAAGGTGACACTTAAGGTGACAACAGGAGAAAACAAGTTATAAATTTACCTGTGCTTCAGATTTTCTTCCATAGCTACTAAGCATGGTACTATAGCAACCTATACATCATCTGAAAGCTTAGGTTGAAAGCAGAGTTCGTCACTGAATGTTTTCCAATTTGATATGCCAAGTACTTTGGATGGTTCTTTCTCAGATTTGTTCATTTCATGTCAAAATCTCAAATTCTTTATTTTTGGTGAATATTTTTGTTAAAAAGTGATATTTTTGAATTCTTGTTGAAAACAGCAAGTCTGATTGCTTTGTTACTATACATCTTGTTCATTTTCTAATGATATCTTCAGTTCTTAATTGAAATGTGCATTGCTAACAGAGGAGCTATCTCAGCGGAGAAGCTGCTTGTTAAATTTTTGACTTCTTTCTGAAAAGTGCAAGTCCAGTTTGAAACTCTAGACTTTGGGTTGTCTTTGACTTGTTCATTTTGTGCTGATTTAATTTTAATGAATTTTTGGTAAAACATTATATTTTTGACTTCTTCTCAAAAATGATTATTCCAATTGCTTTGACAATCTATATATAAACATACTGAGTGGACATCAAGAGTTGTTCATTTTGTGCCGATACCTAGAATTTAGTCATTGATAAATTTAGTCAACATTTTTCTCATTGTTCTTGAAAACTGCTTGCCTTGCTATTTTATATGTTGATGCCTTGGGTTGACCTCTTAGTTGTGTTGGCACTGGGCTCTTTCTGGAATTTGCTAGGTAATAGTAAATTTACTAATCAAGAAAAAAAAGTTTTATTGAACTTGGTCTGGGACTGCGGAGCATTTTCCCATGGCCGAGTGCAATGGGGGAGAGACAACGAGAGGGAGATGTCCCCTCTGTCGTCCACCAAAAAAAAGAACAGCATGCTGAAAATGGTGCTTGCTGGTGCAACCTGAGCTCTAATTTTGTGTGTAATTTCATGACATCAAATTAGGCAGTCTGCTACACAAAATGTACCATTTATGATGGTACAACAAAACATCACAACAAAATATGCAATCTAGACACCAGAACCTTTATTTGAATAAATCAGTATTAAACATATTCATGATAAGCTCACATTGTTAATAGTGGGAAAAATAGTCATCATTCAAAACTTCACTAAGTTCACTGCCTAGAACACAAGTCATTTTTGACGCAATTCTGGCATGCTTTGTGCAGTAATCTTTAGTCAGATCCACTAGTGAATGAATTCACCTTTCCACTTTTAATGCACCACTGACAGGTCATTACTTTAGTATCCATATTATACTCTAACCATGGAAAAGTAATCTAAAGAAATAAGAAATTTGGTAAATATTACCACATAAAACAATAACACAATAAAAAAAATAAGAATAAATATTTTTGAAGAATAAATACCACTGGCACTAGTAAGTACAAAATTAAGCTTTAATTATGTTTATTATCATTTCTTATAAAATATTTATCCAGCAAATAGTAGACATAAAATTTCAGAGTCACAAAAATAAATAGCAGATTACTGCACTGGACTTATTTGGGCAGTTAAATCCTGTGAATAAACTTTCACGGGAAATTTCTCTATGCCAATCAAAAAGTTGTATATTATTATGAAGTAATCTCCCGTGTTCATTATGCAAACCCGCATGTTGATGTTTATGATGACACAAAATAATTATTTTCATCGAAATTTCTTAATTAAATGAAAAAATAAAGTAACTTTCGGTCTTGTAACTCGATCTCAACTTCTAAGAATGCCCGGTAAGAATGTTACACAAATTATAGTATTTTTTGATCGATTCGCTAACATTGTCTCACCTTACATTATTTCTTGGTGCTGTCAGGGTTAGGACACCCATGGGTTTGTGGTTCTGAACACGATTTAGCGGTTTCTCCATCTCGTCGTGAAAAATACTTTTTTGACGTAGTCTCCATTTTCAATAATGAACAAATCACGTGTTTGATCCAGGGCGACATGAAACCGTCCCATGTTTAACTTTAAAATGGCAATCACTCAAACCGTAACATACGTGATGATCACAGTCGAGTTTTGGCAATTAAATAAGGGCGATTTGCAAAGGATATTTTGTACAAAATGTATTTGTAAATCCTACTAATATATATTTATTTTGTTCGTAAATCTTGTCCAAATTTCGTAATTTACGACATTTGCGAGCGACAGCGAGAGCACAGCTGTTGGCATCATGACGATAACTTTTGTTCCCTAATTTTAGTGAATATTTTTTTAAATTTCAGTAAAAAAAATATATTTATGACTTTTTTTTTTGAAAACCACCTGCCTGATTGTTTTTATATGTTATTGTAGGTACCTTAGATAGATCACTGTCAGACTGATTTATTTAGTGTCAATAACACAAACTTTCTTATTGACTCCCATGTGCGAAGCACAAAATGGGAGTCTTTGCAGTTAGTGTGTCTGTATGTGTGTGTGTATGTGTGTATGTGTGTATGTGTGTCCGACTGTTCCACTGCTATCTCAAGAACCATACATC